GTCAAAGTCTAGACCCTGAATATAAGACGACCGCGTTTATTCAGATGTATTTCCAAGAAAAAAACATCGTCTTATATTCGGGTCAATACGGTATAAAGTGTTTTTTGGGGGGGATGAAGCATTATTCTCCTGTGAACAGATGTGTTTATTGTTTCTTATTTTCTCACCCAGTACATTGACGAATGCGTTGGACAGTAAGTATCCGTATTGGTTGGAGGCGTTACACTGGTAAACTGCGCTGGAGCCCGTCTGGACCTCGGAGAATATGAGGGTGTCTCCTTCCACTCTCCTGCTGGGGTCTTTAGGAGCATCTGTCACCAACAACACAGTGTCACACACACACACACACAGTCACTGACCCTCGATGGGCAGGCCGTTCACCAGCCAGCGGATGCTGGGTTTGGGGTGTCCGGCGGCCCGGCACGTGATGATGCCCATCTCCTTCGGAGCCAGAACCAGATTCTTGGGAGCACTGATCCAGTACGGAGCCGCTGCCAATCAACACAACAGCCTTTAGTGCTGAAGTCACGTGCATTACGCATGATCATCTATAATAGAAACTGTAGACTGCTTTAGTTCCTTTAAGAAATTAAAATGTTGGTACCTTTTGTTCTATTGAAAAAATGACAATTTCGGTCAGTTTTGTTAAATGAAGATATTTAAATATCGGTTAGTTTTGTTTAATTAAGATATTTAAATCAGTAAGTATCCGTATTGGTTGGAGGCGTTACACTGGTAAACTGCGCTGGAGCCCGTCTGGACCTCGGAGAATATGAGGGTGTCTCCTTCCACTCTCCTGCTGGGGTCTTTAGGAGCATCTGTCACCAACAACACAGTGTCACACACACACACACACAGCGCTGAAGCAGCTCTCTCTCACACACACACACACACACACACAGTCACTGACCCTCGATGGGCAGGCCGTTCACCAGCCAGCGGATGCTGGGTTTGGGGTGTCCGGCGGCCCGGCACGTGATGATGCCCATCTCCTTCGGAGCCAGAACCAAATTCCTGGGAGCACTGATCCAGTACGGAGCCGCTGCCAATCAACACAACAGCCTTTAGTGCTGAAGTCACGTGCATTACGCATGATCATCTATAATAGAAACTGTAGACTGCTTTAGTTCCTTTAAGAAATTAAAATGTTGGTGCCTTTTGTTCTATTGAAAAAATTACAATTTCGGTCAGTTTTGTTAAATGAAGATATTTAAATATCGGTTAGTTTTGTTTAATTAAGATATTTAAATATTGGTTGTTTTTTGTTAAATGAAGATATTTAAATATTGGTTGGTTTTTGGTAAATTAAGACATTTAAATATCGGTTGGTATTGGTAAACGATATTTAAATATTGTTTAGTTTTGTTTAATTAAGATATTTAAATATCGGTTAGTGTTGTTCTATTAAGAAATTTAAATATTGGTTCATTTTATTCTTTTAAGGTATTAAAATATTGCTTATTTTTGTTTCTACCAAGAGAAGACAATTTTGGTCATTATTGTTCGATTAAGAGATTTAAAATACCAGTCTGTTTTGTTAAATTAAGATATTTAAATATCGGTTGATTTTCTTCTATTAAATATTTAAATATCAGTAATTTATGTTAAATTTAGATATTTAAATATCTGTTGGGTTTGTTCTTTTGAGAGATTAAAATATTGGTTGGTTTTGTTCTATTAAGAAATGTAAATATCGGTTCGTTTTATTATTTTAAGGTATTTAAATATAACTCTTTTGTTACTTTAACTTTTTTAAGATACTAAAATATCAGTCGGTCTTGCTAAATTATTTAAATATTGGCCAATATTGTTTTATTGAGAGATTTAAATATCAGTCAGTTTTGTTAAATTAAGATACTTAAAAATGACAGTCAGTTTTGTTCAAAGCGAGAGTAAGTTATTCTTAAAAAGTAATAATAGAAATATTACATAATATGAAAAATGAGTGTTCACAAGGAAATTAAAAGGAATTTAGATAATGGTTGGTTTTGCGAGCAAGAGTAAACAATTCTCAGAAAGCATCAATATAGATACGATTAACTGAGTTTAACATTCTCCAAATTTAATTATGTGAAAGTGACGTGACATGTGGCCAAGTATGATGACACATACTCGGAATTAGTGCTCTGCATTTATCCCATCCTAAGTGCACACACACACAGCAGTGAACACACACACCATGAACACACACCCGGAGCAGTGGGCAGCCATTTATGCTGCGGCACCCGGGGAGCAGTTGGGGGTTCGGTGCCTTGCTCAAGGGCACCTCAGTCGTGGTATTGAAGGTGGAAGAGAGCGCTGTACATTCACTCCCCCCACCTACAATCCCTGCCGGTACGAGACTTTGAGTTTAACATTCTCCAAATTTAATTATGTGAAAGTGAAAGTGACGTGGCCAAGTATGATGACCCATACTCGGAATTAGTGCTCTGCATTTATCCCATCCAAAGTGCACACACACACACACACCCGGAGCAGTGGGCGCTCGGGGAGCAGTTGGGGGTTCGGTGCCTTGCTCAAGGACACCACAGTCGTGGTATTGAAGGTGGGAGAGAGCTCTGTACATTCACTCCTGCCTTGCTCAAGGGCACCTCAGTCGTGGTATTGAAGGTGGAAGAGAGCGCTGTACATTCACTCCCCCCACCTACAATCCCTGCCGGTACGAGACTCGAACCCGCAACCTTTGGTTATGAGTTCGACTCTCTAACCATTAGGCCACGACTTCCCCTGAAATCAGGAATGTAAGCGATCATGTTGAGAAATACAGAAGAGAGCTTTAATTTGAATTAGGGCTGTCTGTGGAGCGTCTTGGACAGGACTGTGTGTTCACCGTTAACCGTGACTCTGATGTTGTGGTGAACAGAGCCGTGCCGGTTCTTGGCGATGCAGCGATATTCTCCAGCATCCGTCTCCGACACATCCGTGATCCGCAGAGTCTTATCGAAGTTCAGGAAGGACGCTCGTCCGCTGGGAATCTCACCGTTGTGTTTAACCCATGAGACCGCAGGAGTGGGTTATGAGTTCGACTCTCTAACCATTAGGCCACGACTTCCCCTGAAATCAGGAATGTAAGCGATGATGTTGAGAAATACAGAAGAGAGCTTTAATTTGAATTAGGACTGTCTGTGGAGCGTCTTGGACAGGACTGTGTGTTCACCGTTAACCGTGACTCTGATGTTGTGGTGAACAGAGCCGTGCCGGTTCTTGGCGATGCAGCGATATTCTCCAGCATCCGTCTCCGACACATCCGTGATCCGCAGAGTCTTATCGAAGTTCAGGAAGGACGCTCGTCCGCTGGGAATCTCACCGTTGTGTTTAACCCATGAGACCGCAGGAGTGGGACTGAACAGGAATACGAGGGACAATACAGGTCAACACAAAAACCCTGTTTTATCCGAAGCAAACAAAGATGCATTGCATTTCAGCAGTTCATGCATTCCCTGGGAATCGATCCCATGCGCCACCATCTACTGTTTGAGCTATGGGAATGCACATGCACAAAATAAAAAAATCATATTTCACAGTCATTTAAACCAAACGTGTGAACACAGATGAGAGGATCTGAACTCACAGGCCATCAGCGACGCACTCCATCTCTAGAACCTCTCCTCTCAGAACCATTTTAGAGCTGACAGACTCGCTGGGAACCATGAACACAGGTGCTCGCTCTTCTGCGGGTTTATCTGAAACAAACACAAACACCCTGCGTCAGTCTCACACACACACACACACCATACAAAACTGTCAAATATTAGCCTTATTTTGTAATCATTCATTAGTTGTAACATTTGTTTTGTCTTTTAACCCTTATGTTGTGTTCAGCTCATTTTGACCCGGAGAGGATTTTATTTTCCTGAGTCACACCGGACTAAAACTCACTGAATTTGCTCACACAGGGAATAACAACATCCCCTCCAAAATGATAATTTTTGTACTTTTTTGTGGATGTTTTCCCCAATTTTTTCAATTTGTCCAAAAATGACCGACCTACAAAAATTGCTTATACATGTCTTGTTGTGTTACATTTTTTGCAAAACGTTAGATTCAATTGTTTTATCAGCTTGTTTTCTTTCAATTAGCATAGGTTTTGTATTTCTTCATGGAATTGATTGATTTTAGGCCTCACTGATCTGGGATCTCAGTTTTCGAGTGAATATTGCGCAACATATCCACAAATAATGTTTTTTCACTCAAAAACTGAGGTGCATGAGATCAGATCAATTAACCCTGTGATCAACCAGTCCAAAAAGAAATATAAAACCTGTGCTGAGTGAAAGAAAACGAGTTGACAAAAAGATTCAATCCAAGATTTACTGATACTACAGCGTGATGAGGGTAATTTTTAAAAAGCCAGTCATTTTTGACCAGAAACACCCAATTAGAACAGCACAAGGGTTAACTGAATGCATGAGGGTTATATATTACTGCCATATTGACATTACTTTAACACACTCAGCTTTGACTGAAAACAGCTTCAGGATCGAAACAATGAATCAAACCTTTCTGTGAAGCTGCTCTTGAATACAAGTACAAATACACGTGGAATGAACTGAATTAAAATGAAGAGAACTAATCAGGGTTTAGAAGAACTAGATGGAAAGCAACAGAGGAATAACAGAAATCAGGAAGATGAAGAGACAAACAGAGTTCATTAACGAACAGAGAGAGACAAACCTCCCAAAGTCTGATATAAGATCATTGAGTTTCTAAAGCAGAAGATGCGATCGATTAGAGATCTGAGATCGATTAGTCCAGGAAACCAGGGCTTTAATAAAAGACGGATTTGTGTGTGAATGAAGGAGTACAGGTTAGAGTAAACCGGGTGTTGGTTAACCGGCAGGACGAGGGGTTGGTTAAAGGAGGGTCACTAGGGGGCGCCATCACTCACCACTAAACAAATCAGTGTCATTGAAATAATCTGCCAGTGTGTCATTGAGTGAATCCACTGTAACACAGCAAAACAACAGCACAAATCAAAGACATGCAGACAGAAGTGTCTCACGGCGGGCATTCAGAGCTCTCGTTGTTTCATTAGCGTGATGAATGGACAGCACTCACTGTCGAGCACACGGACGCTGATGGGCTGCTTCTGCTGGATGGTCTGTGTGTGTGGGAAGCGAGCGTAGCAGATGTAGTCGCTCCTGGAGTCCTCCGGCTGGACGTTGGAGAAGTAGAGATCTCCGTTCAGAGCCTGAGACACACGCCGGCTCTGCGGCAGACGCTGGAAATCTGTGCAGACACACACAGACATGAGTGAGATCTGAAGCCAACACATTACACATCTGATCCGGTTCTGGTGCAGCGTCACAAAATCAGCGAGCTGCATGCAGAGAAATAACAAACCTCTTTAAAGCATCAACACTTGTGGACTGAAGAAGAAGTCAAAATCAGAAAGTGGGACTGAAAAGAATAATACGGTTTATTTTGCCAACGTGCCTCAGCGCACAGACTTTCAGAAGGGCTAAAAGATTGCAAAGACAAGAACAAATTCAAACTGAAACATGCTGCTAAAATAAAAAGTGTTTTTTATCAGGACTCACAAAACATTCTAAAGAATAACATTCTTCTTATCTGCTATTTTCTTACATTTGATACAAAAGCACAGCCTTTGAGGTGTTTTTCATTGAGTTTATCAGCTAGTCTTTGTTGAGAACTGCCATGCAATCAGTCATTTTCTTCTTTAAAATGTTTTTAAATGTTCTTAAGGAAATATTAGAGAACGTCTTTTCAACAATTGCACTCTGAGGGTTCAGAAATACTCTCAATATGCTTACTCTCAAAAAACTAAATTCAACAAAGAGAGGAGATCACACATACTGGTAAAAAACTTCTCACAAAAAACACTTTATTAAGAGGCCAAAAAGCCCTAAAGTAAAACACATTGTCATCAGTGTCATAACAGACAATAGCACACCTGATTCTGTTTATAGAAATGTTACCGTAATGCATCTAATAAAGTTGACTAAAACACGTGCATAAAAATCATCAATAGCATAAAAAGTGTGTACACTAACATTCATGAATAATACAAATATTATGCAAAAATATAAATAAAAAGGATTATATTTCACAAAAAAAAAAAAAAATTCTTTAGAGGAATGTTTTTGGCATAATATTTTTGATATTTTTGGTAATTTTTTTTTACAATTCTTTTGTATAATTTTTATATAGCATACTTATGAAGTGTACACGCTTATTTTTGAATGCTATTGATATATGTATAAGTGGATAAATGATGTATGGATTTATTTTGAGAAGTTTCGATTTTCGGATATTTTTGGTAATTTTTTTTTACAATTCTTTTGTATAATTTTTATATAGCATACTTATGAAGTGTACACGCTTATTTTTGAATGCTATTGATATATGTATAAATGGATAAATGATGTATGGATTTATTTTGAGAAGTTTCGATTTTCGTGAATCCAGCAGGTTTCTGCTGATACTAAAGTCTGTAATATTTTCATTATTGTTATGAAAGTCGCAATTAAGGGAAAATAGCGTCAGATCTTTTCTTCCGTATTGTGTACATCTGAGTGTCACGGATTAATGAAAAAAGGCGGGACTTGGTTCTGTTAATCTGTCGCTGATTGGATGTTAAGATGTGGGGGTGTGGCACTCTAGCAGGGGCGGAGTTTAGGAGTTTAGCACTAAATGATTGGAGAAGACCAGCATACACCACTGAAGATCCAGTTTAATTCAACATTACGAGATCAAAACATTTATTGATGCTCACTAACATGCATGTAGAAAGTAGGGGGAAATTTTCATTTTGCTTACTGTTGTCCATCCAGAATATGATGGGCGGCGGGAGGCCGGCGGGGGGGCGGCAGTGCAGAATTAAAGACTGTCCCATCTGTGCAACGATTGGACTGATTCTCTCTTTAGACCACAGAGGAGATCCTGCAGAAACAGGAATGATCACATGACTCAACACAACCGTGAAGGTGAAGCTTAAAGGGACAGGTCACCCAAAAATGAACATTCAGTGTTAATTTACTCACCCTAAGGTCATTCAGAATGAAGGGGACTTTTTTCTTCAGTAGAACAGTATAGCTATCGTCACTTTAAGATTAAAAACAAAGAAAAACAAAACATATCAGGCAACACAGACTGAATACATGTGGCTCCTGATGATCTATTGAGGTCTTATGAAGTGAAATGATTGGTCTGTGCAAGAAACTGAACATTATTTAGAACATTTTTACAAAAGTGAGTTTTGTAGATCTGTGTTTTCGGACGATTCAGTTCAGTTTGATGAACTGGTTCAACATTTGGCTCTGGATTATAGTAAATAATGTTCAGTTTCTTGCACAGACTGATCACTTAGCTTCATAAGACCTCAACATATCATAAGGAGCCATGGCGATTAATTCTGTGTCTGATATGCTTTTTTTTCCCTTTCAAAATTATATGAATCACCAAAAACCACGGTTTCAGCTAAACATCTTTATTGTACTACTGAAGAAAAAATTAAACTACATCATAAATGATCAGCAAATGTTCATTTTTGGGTGAACTATCCCTTTAAACTCAGGTTTTTCAACCGGCGCTGAGAGGCGGTGAGTGGAGAGTGTTGAGGAGAGAGATCTAAACACTGAGTGACTATGAGGATCCGTCTGTGGGATTGAGCCGCCGCATGCATCACAGTCAAACGTTGAGATTTACCTCCGAATATCAGATGTCTGAGGATGCTGAGAATGTCTTGCGACACAGAACAGTGAGAGATAGCAGGGTTAAACAGAGGCAGATGAGAGTGTGGAAGCTGTGCTGTGACTGATGTGACGTACTGGACTGGCGGATGATGATGCTGTTGGAGACGGCGGTGCCGAGCTCGTTGTGAGCGGAGCACTGATAGACGCCCTCGTACGCCTCGGCCCGCTCTCCTCCGCTGATGTCCATCACCAGCGTCCCTGAACGAGGCTTCATCAGGACTTTAGGATCCTTATCCATGTCAAAATGCATCCCGTTCCTGGTCCACGAGAAGCTGAGAGAGAACGGCAAATCGTGAGTTAATTCTATCAGCTAGTCCTGTGTCAAATCTCAAATACTTACTCAACCTTGTCAAGTTTTAGTTGATAAAAAGTCTGAAAATTTTAGTCATTGAAAACATATACGAGTATATATTTCACAATCATATTTTGTCATCGTAAATATCGTTTTAGTCACATTTAGTCATGCTGCATGATGGTTAAACAGATAATCATGATTAGCCTATATATGTGCTTACTCACAAACATGATCTAGTTTCCTGATTTATTATATTTTTCATATTACATTTACATTTAGTCATTTAGCAGACGCTTTTATCCAAAGCGACTTACAGATGATCACAAACAGAAGCAATCAAAATCAACAAAAGAGCAATAATATGCAAGTGCTATGACAAGTCTCAGTTAGTCTAACACAGTACACGTAGCAAGTTATATATATAAGTTATATATATATTAATTATCATATTCAGCAAATGCACTTTTATGTCATCCTAAAAAAGTCTTTGAACATGTCATAAATATTGAATTCAATGAACCTCACAAATGTTAGTGATTTTTACTGTCACTTGCATAGAAACATGCAAAACAAACGTTTCTCTCATATTGTGTTTTGTATGCAAAATGAGCATTTTCTGGTCTTCATTCAAGAAAACATGATTCCCGGCGTTTGTCTTTTTACATTTCATCAGAATTACAGCAAATTAAGAGTGTGATCTCACATGCACGGTCTAGTTTCCTGATTTATTATATTGATCATACATTACGACAAATTGAAAAACAAGAAGCACCTATCAAAAACTAGCACTTTATTATTGACATCTGGAAAGCTTCTGGAGGCTTCTTAAGCCTTTCTCCTCTTTTTTGTTGATGAGCATAAAGAGAGGTTTTGGTAAAGTTTTTTTTTTAACTACATTTCAGTCTCGTCTTTTTTTCATCTACAATATTTTAATATTTCAAAGGGATAGCTCACCCAAAAATGAAATTCTGTCATCATTTACTCACCCTAAAGTTGTTTAAACCTATACGAACAGGTTCTTTCTTCTGTTGAACACGAAAGAATGTTGACGGTAGCCATTGACTTCAATAGTAATTTCTCCATACTATGGAGGTCAATGGCTACCGTCAGCCGTTTGGTTGCCATTATTCTTCTAAATAACTTGTTTTGTGTTCAACAGAAGAAAGAAACTCATACAGGTTTGGAACGACATGAGGATGAGTAAATGATGACAGAATGTGGGTGAACTTCGTCTCGTCTTAGTGGTGGAAACAACAGCTGATCACAGTATTATGAATAAAATGAAGATCATTAATGACGAGCTCAGACAGGTTTCTCACCTGGGATGCGGTTTCCCTTTGGCCTCGCAGTGGATGACGATGTTCTCGCGCGGATCTACGATGTAGTCCTTCGGTGACTGATGGGTGATTGTGGGAGGCTGCGGCACTGAGGGTCACATGACACAGGGAGTTCAGTTACAGCCAATCAGAGACTCACACACACACACACGCAGGATCCATCAACATGCAAAACATGATAACACCGCACATCAATCTACTGCAGCACATGCACTCCAACGCTCTTTTATGTCTATAAATCAATGCAATCAATGGGAGGCTGCGGCACTGAGGGTCACATGACATGGGGAGTTCAGTTACAGCCAATCAGAGACTCACACACACACACACGCAGGATCCATCAACATGCAAAACATGATAACACCGCACATCAATCTACTGCAGCACATGCACTCCAACGCTCTTTTATGTCTATAAATCAATGCAATCAATGGGAGGCTGCGGCACTGAGGGTCACATGACATGGGGAGTTCAGTTACAGCCAATCAGAGACTCACACACACACACACGCACTCACTCACACACACACACACGCAGGATCCATCAACATGCAAAACATGATAACACCGCACATCAATCTACTGCAGCACATGCACTCAAACGCTCTTTTATGTCTATAAATCAATGCTGTATTAATGAGTCCGTCAAATTTCCTCCACAAAAGAACTGAAGCAGCAGTCGTGCCAAAAGAACAGCATGCAAACACAGCAATAAAACCATATCATATGCAAACTAATGACAATAAAGGACATAACAAGCTCAGTTCACAGCAAGCATCCTTCAGGACAGCAGGTGAGGAACTTACGCTCTTCCAGAAGTTTCGCTGGAGATGCCAAGAGAATCACGTCAGTACATCAGCAACACCACATCTCTCATACTGACCGTGTTCTGTGTGTAACATTAACACTACCTGCTGTTTATCTGAGAAAATATCATTCCCAGTGTGCGCAGACTTGTGTTTAGCTATTTCTTGATTTGTGAAAAACATTACAGAATACAGAATTAATAGAAATTGATGTTCAAACTATTTTAAAATGATTATATGCACTGTAAAATGAATATGAACAAATGCACATTTTATTGCAGCATGTGTAATTACCTTTAAATTAAACATTGTCTCTCTTTTTCTCTCACTCACACGAGTGAAGAGTGCATGATGAAGATGAGGAGTGCGCACAGATATATTAATTTAAATAGAAAATTTTACCCCAACTGGTTGCGTTGTTATAGAATTAACTCAATAAATGTTAAGAAAAACAACAAGCGATCCAGTATGATTAAATCTGATATTGGGTACAGTAAACACATTTGTGTTTCCTGCTAGCTGAATTTTGCATACATAGACAATCATTTACTCTAAACCTCTCTTTTCTTTATTCAAAGCTGATCTAGAGAAGCACACGGAAACTGAAGTTCTGTTAATCCCAAAGCAGTGAAAGCCGCACCTCTATATTCATCCTATGTGTCCTCTTAAAGAGTCAATTCTGTACACTTTCTCTTCGTTCTGTTTTTATAACTGTACTGCCTACTACAAGGTAAAAAAAAAAGAAAGATTCACAATACGCACGTTAAAGTCCCGATCTGAAATGATTCACGAACGCGCTCTGAAATCCCGATCTGAATCAAAGGATTCATGAACCCAGTTAGTTCCAATCTGAATCGAATGATTTGCAGTTTGTGCTCTGAAGTCCTGATTTGAAGCACATGAATTGCGATCCGATTGGAGCGCTTCGAAACAATGAATCTTTGTGATGCAATGGTTTAACATTATAGTTTCGAAAAGCTCTGTTTCACCCACTATACATGCTTTTTTGAGTTTAAATCAATCAGAGCGGTTCCAGCGTAAATGCCTCAGTTGAATCAGTTGATTTTTCCTCCACTTTTCACTCCTTCAGTCATGTTTACATGACACTGTCAGTACAGTGTGTGTGTATATGTGTGTGTGTTTAGGGTCTGTGTGAGTGTGTGTGTTCAGGTGTGTGTGTGTGTGTGTGTTCAGGTGTGTGTGTGAGAGTGTGTGTGTGTGTGTGTGTGCGTTCAGGTGTGTGTGTGTGTGTGCGTTCAGGTGTGTGTGTGTGTGTGCGTTCAGGTGTGTGTGTGTGTGTGCGTTCAGGTGTGTGTGTGTGTGTGCGTTCAGGTGTGTGTGTGTGTGTGCGTTCAGGTGTGTGTGTGTGTGTGCGTTCAGGTGTGTGTGTGTGTGTGCGTTCAGGTGTGTGTGTGTGTGTGCGTTCAGGTGTGTGTGTGTGTGTGCGTTCAGGTGTGTGTGTGTGTGTGCGTTCAGGTGTGTGTGTGTGTGTGCGTTCAGGTGTGTGTGTGTGTGTGCGTTCAGGTGTGTGTGTGTGTGTGCGTTCAGGTGTGTGTGTGTGTGTGCGTTCAGGTGTGTTCGTGTGTGTGTGTGTTCGTGTGCGTTCAGGTGTGTGTGTGTGTGTGTGTTGATACGTACGGTCCAGAGGAACCTCCAGCGCCGTGATCATGTGACCCAGGAAGAGCAGCAGCAGGGCCAATGGGCCGTCCCTCTGCATGTCCATCACCGCCTCGTGACCAATGAGCTGCGTCTGAAGTGAGTTTAGCCCCGCCCTCAAGTGTGATCAGGACAGCAGCGGCTCACAGACACACACAACACTGACAAACACACACACACACACACACACACAGACAGGCAGTTAGATTCATTTCACACACATAATAAACAAAGACTAGTAGTATTTTATATAATAATATATTCTAATCAATATTTTATATCATTATCGTGTGTCAATGATGCTAAAATAACACTGGCTCCAGATCAGCGGCTCTGAAGGTTGGGTTATTAACAGAACATGAGTCACTGGTGTAACGTTTGCATCTGTGGAACGAATCCCTGTCTTTCAGAGATCAATACACAGTCACACACACACGAGTGTGATGGATATGAACACGCGTGTGCGACACACTGAGCTCTGGAGCGCAAACTCAGCCAAAAATATTATCCGATCTTCAAATGAAAACACTGATGATGCCTCAAAGAAAATTAGAATACAACTGAATCAACCAAATTAATCAAATGTTTGAACATGTCTGTGATGGCCAAACGTGTTAAAACATTAAAAACAAAACATAAATGTGAGCCTGCAGCACAAAAGCAGTGTTAAGTCGCTGGGGGATATTTGTAGCAATAGCCAACAATATATTGTATGAGTCACAATTATACATTTCTCTTTTATGCCAAAAATCATTAGGATATTAAGTAAAGATCATGTTCCATGAAGATATTTTGTACATCTCCTACCGTAAATATATCAAAACTTAATGTTTGATTAGTAATATGCATTGCTAAGAACTTCATTTGGACAACTTTAAAGATGATTTTCTCAATATTTAGATTTTTTTGCACCCTCAGATTCCAGATTTTCTAATATTGTCCTATCCTAACAAACCATACATCAATGGAAAGCTGATTTATTTTTCAACTCAATTCAACTCAAAACACTGGAAAATTTGAAAACAAATGAATCAGTCATATGAATCAATTGTCTGTGATCATCAGCTCCACACGTCTGAAACAGCACAGCAGATCCATCATAACGCTGAGCTGTAAATGTGTTCATAATTACAGCTCGTAATCACTGCCATAATGAACCAAACGAACACTGAGTGCATGTGTTTCCCACACGATCACAGGACTGATGTTCTCGAACACAATCAAACACACAGAGCTGAAACAACAACCAGAACACACACCAGACATGACCTGCAAAACACGCGTGTGAGTGTGTGAGTGCTGTTCTGTTGCACGACCATCCCTCGAGCGACTCAAACACACATCAGACTCCAACTGTCCTCTTATTTACAGTTAAAGGTGTTTATTGCTCTGATACTGTCGAGAAACTGTGTCGATGTGCTCCTGGTCTCTGACACAAACACACAAAGACATTCCAGCAGACACTTCCCATCAGCCCTCATTAGATTGTATAATTGCGGAGGCGGAATGCAGATAATGGCTGTGTTTATCATATGAATGGCGTGTGTATGAATCAGCCCAACGCTTTATGAAAACACCGGCGCTGACCGAGTTCAGTGTTTGATGAGCGTCTGCTGCTCTTATGATTTCAGTAATTTAACAACGCATGTTCATGGTTCTCTGATATCAGCTAATGATGGCGTCATGCAGCTTACAGACAGGAATACAAATGATTCATCTTAATTACAAACACTAATTAAAAACTATTATGTGCATGTTCAATTTTACTCGTATACTGAACATATAATCACATAAAGCCATATATACTCACAGCTAATCTGAATATAAATAGCAAATCTAGATACAAAGTCTTGTTTTCAGAGAAACGTATCAAAATGACAGAAGAACTGAGTTCTGCTGGAGTTTGATGAATGAGAAACATGATGAACGGGTTAAAGATACTCTTGTATTTCTTGGCCTTTATCTTCCGCCTCAAGAACACTTGCTTTTGTCTTCTGCTCATTTGTGTTGTTTTTCCAGACGATGGAAAGCAAATGTTTGCTCAGCGCGTCTCTGAACTCTGAATACATTAACATTCCCGTCTCTCTCACACTCAGACTAACAAACACCCACAAAATCCACACAGATTCCTTCTCTCTCTCATTCACAGACACTCACATGCTCATTTCTGGCAGCGCCTTAAAGAAATGAGGCCTTGTTAGCATGCATGGAAAACCAGAGCGCTATAACACACACACACACGCACACACACACACACACACACACACACACACACACACACACACACACAACTTCATCCTCCGGTTAATGCTGTAAATAATCAAATCTACATTGAGCAGCTCATCACTGCAGATTCCAGTCTCAGAAATCAGAGTCAGAAACTCAAACTCACATGTTTGTTTTCTTCAGATGAAACACAGATGATTACTGCTCTCAAATCAGTCTCAAACTCATTAAAGTGAGATGCAGGAGAGCCGAACATGACCCTGACGGGTCTCTCCCTGTCTTATTACAGTATTACTCTGATATGTACTATCATTGTCTATATTCAGATTTTCATTTATTTTAATATTAATATGAGACGTTAGTTTTTATTTTAATTGTAGTTAAAGTTTTAGTTATTTGTGTTATTTTGGGCATTTTTACAAATATTATTTTTTTTTTAATTATTTCCATTTTAGTATCATTATTTATATTTTACTTTATTTCAATATTTTATTTATATTTATTTTATTTAATAATATAATAATAACAATAATAATATATTATTTTTATTAGTATTTAGAATTCTTTGTTTTCTTTTCAATTTTATTTAGTTTTAGAAATTTTCTAAATAATACATTTTTGCAATTGTCATTATTATTATTATTATTATTTTGAAATATGCATAAAAATTTTTATTAATTTTATTACAGCTTTATTACACTATCATTATTTATATTTTAATTTATTTTAATATTAAATTTATTTTATTTTTAATATGATTTTTATTAACATTTTGAATTAGTTTTTATTTTATAATTTCCATTTTCATTTTCATTTTAGTTAAAGTATTAGGAATTTTATTGTGTTTTTGGTTTTATTATTATTATTATTATTATTATATGTCTATATAGTTTTTATTCATTTTATTTCAGTTTTAGTTCTAATTTACTAAAAAAATTTTTTTTTAAATTAACATTTCTTGCAAACTAGTAACAAAAACTTTTTTGAATGGTTTTATTTAACTATAATGCTCTGTTCTCATTGGATCAGGCAGCTCTCATATGCTGATGATGAGGGGTCATTTGCATATGTAAACAGTCAAACTCAGCAAACACTGTTTCTGTTGCTGTGATTCATTTGAATCGACTCCTCTGAACAAATCTCTGAATCAAACTCATATTAGCATGCGCGAGCGGCGGCTGATCAATCATTGGACGGCTCGGCCGTATCCATGCCAACGGACCACGTCCAGAAATCCATTTCCTTCTTTAGTCCTCCTGACCTTTTCAATAAGCAAAGAGGAGAAGCTGCACTCATCCGTCCTGATTCTCCACCAGCATCAACAGAACAACTATTACACAACTACAGCAGTCGAATCTGAAGCGAATTAACAACAAGCTTTGATGATTTCCTCACAGCTGAATGTGCAGCATCTGAAACAGTCTTTCACTCATTCACATGCAGCTTTAACAAGCTCATACTCATCTAGAGACCGACATTAGTGCACAATCCTATTTCACACCGCAGGACCATTTACAATCAGCTAGAAAGTGTTTAAACATGTTCTTCATCAGTATTTCTGTATTGGTTTCTAGTAGAAATAACTCAGCGTTCTTGAATCAAAATATATTTATTGGAGAAGCAAAATGATTTCAGATATTGAGTCTTGCTTTCAGAAGAAAGTGATCAAATGAAGTGAGTTCATGATTAAAACAAGAACAAAGAATTTAGTTTTCCCTTTGATATAATTAATTTTTTTCTGACTTTATTGGCAGGTATTTGTTCTTGTTTTAATCATAAACTTCATTTTGAAAAGTTAGTTTTGATCAGTTTCTCAGAAAACAAGACTTCTTACGTCATTTTGGTTTGGATTATAGTTAACTAAAAAAGTAAAAAAAATTTTAACAAATATTTTTGATCAAAATTTGAAATTAGTTTTTTTTATTTTTGATATCTTGTGTTTTCACTTAAAAAACATTTTCATTATTTAATATTAAATGAACGTTAAATCAAATAAAATGAAATATAAAAAAACTTATTTCATTTCAGGTAGTTTCCAACATGTCTCACTTTGTCTTAATGTGCTAAAATAACTCAAACTAAAATAAAAATAAACAACGTATTAAAAAGCAACAAACACTAATAAAAATGTCAAAATAAAATAATAAAATGTCCATAAAGTGACTAAAAACATAACTAATATGAACATGAAAGCAGAAAATAAAATAAAATCGAATTCAAAATATTATTGATAAGTAATACTGAAACAACACCGATGTTGAGACATTTATACCAGAAAACAAGAGAGAAAATAATTTTTGCCGTGCAGAATCAACTCCACACAAAGTGTACAAACACAAGTGTTTTAATGTGTGGGATGTAAACTGTGTGTGTCAGCGGAGCTGCTGATGTGTGTGATTGTGATGCTAATGCGAGCTCGTCTCTGCTCAATAGCACCGCTCAGATGTGCTGACCGCCGCTGACCGCTGCTATTGTTGCTGTAGAAGCTTCTCTCGGTGCATTCACACACACAGCACACAGCAGTCCTTCCCCACTGAAGATGTGGAGCTCAGAGCGCTGCTGACCGCTGGAGACGCACCTGATTCAGTTTGATTCAGCATCACACATGAACTAACTGAATATTGCTTGTTCCACGGCCTTTTTAGCCATGTCCATACTTTAAAACTGAATACATTTAACAGTTTTCACAATGAACAGATTCACGATGATTCTAAGCAATGTGAATAAATGCGTTTTGAGAATATGATAATTTGGTAACACTTTACAGTGAGGTCCTATTAACATGCATGCATGCATTAGCTAACATTAAATAATAATTAGTGATATATTTTTAAAAGCCTTTATTAATCATTCATTGTTTGTTTATGTTAGTTTGCAGTGCATCGACTTTTGATTTTAAAAACGCATTGGCAAATGCTGAAATTACAGTTGAATA